CACTTTTCCCGTGGGACGGCAGGCATCGCGGGGGGTCCATCAGGGGCCCGGTAGCACCAGCTGTCCAGGTCGTCTCCCCATGGCGGGTTGTTTCCTTTGGTGCCTCTGCACTCCTCTTTTAATGGTGCCTTTGAGGAGAAGCCATGTCCGTAGTATTGCGCAGCTGCGTCGGATCTCCATCCTCCTGAGCCTCTGTGTCTACTTGAATCACCTCTGTTTTCTCAGTTTAGTATATTTCTCCTCAGTTTTGATGTCCATTACAGCTGGCTGGCTGTCTCTTTGCCATTACCAGTTTAGGTAGTCAGCATAGTGTCCATGCGGGGGCTCCCGCTGTGGTACCTGTCACCACCATGTGGCCGGGATATCCCCGGGCCAAGGGTCTCCCTACACCAGAGATGTTTGCCTTGTTGTGGGTTGGCTCTGTGTTGCGCCATTTCACGGCGTAATGCTTCATGCAATGGCAGCCGGTGCTCAAAGGCCGCGTGTAGGCCGGACCCATTCCTCTCCGCCCGCGCGCCACGTGGTCTGCTTCATGCGGGTATCGGGTGGGTGTCGGGGCTTTCCCCCTTCCAGATGCGGCAGGTTTGCTGCTGGAGCCCATGCAAGTGGTGTCCAGTCGGCCCGGCCCCGCCCCCTCCGTACACTAATTTGAATAAAAAAAAAAAAGGCATTTATAAGTCAAGTATACATTTTTACCTATAAACCCTAACCTTTATGTCAACATATTCAAATGTACTAGAAAATGCAATTCAGATCTTTTGTTTCAGATGGAGTAATGCAGAAAAAAAATGCCTAGAATAACATAAAAATAGAAATAGACAGTATAAACTGTGCATCAGCAGAATAATTTAATTCAGCTATTTAATAATACTTATTGTGTTTTTCTTATTTTGTAAAGCCTAGGTCAATGTTTAGCTATTTCCATATGACTAACCTACTTCTCAGGTATATATTAAGGTAGACCTTCATTTATCATTTAGTTCATACAGTATGTCACAATGGTTCCATGATTGAGTGAAAATGACTTTTCACAGTTTTAGTCAATATATGTAGGTTGATATTTTCAATATTCATATCATAATTTTTCATTAATTATTAAATATTCCAGATCTATTAATACATTACCATTAAATAATTTATATATTTACCTCTTACGTATGTCCTAACTAAATATCTCTGTCAAAAATCAATCAAAAAGAAGCATGAAATGAAACTAACAGACCACCAGTGAAGAGCTAATAAGTATTTTTTTAAATGTAATTACCATAATGAGAAAAAAAATTCTGCTGCCAATTAAAGTCACACAAATCAGCAGGCGCACACTTTACGCAGCATGCTAGCTACAAGTCAAATTAAATTTCCAAGGATAGTGGATATGATTGTGTACTGTCAACACCGATAAAGGTATTTTTAAAAGTATTTTCTAGAATTATTACATTTTAAATGATTTTTTTTGTCTCGTAGTTTAATATATAGCAGCCAAAACAAAATTATGTATCTACAGCCACTTATATTTATGTATGTATGTATGTATATACATATGTGTACATGTATGTATGTATGTATATCTCTGCCTAACTGACCAATGGTTATCGTAATAGATCAAAGTGAAGTAACATGCAAACAAGCATTGACAAAAACTCTTCTTGTGATGCTACTTTTAAGAAGAGAAAAAGACAATTAGTTGATACAAATTATTTAAAGTGTGTTTAAGGCAGCTTTTTTCCCCCCAATTCTTTATTTTATTCATGCATAGCGTGAACAAGCATATTTGCACTGCCACAACAGCTGGTGCAAACAAATATGGAGACATACGATAACAATAGTATGGCATCAAAAAACATTGCACTTTTTTATATATAAACAGGATTAAGCAGATTAGGTAAACTTGTCTAGAGCAATAGTTTGAACAAGGCTGGTGGACTATAAGTTGTGCTGATATGGGCCAGCTAGACATATAAAGTATAAGAAAACATGAAACTTTGGGTCGCAAGTTATAGTCCAGGAGTAGGGGGAATTATCCCCTGTAGTTGCAAAGGTATAACTAGGGACCCACATATGTCGCTATAATCAAGATATCTGTATTTATGAGCAAACCAAATTAAATTAATAACAAACTTATTTACAACTGAAATAAAAGAGAAGGATTTTGCTCAGGTGTGGAGAGGGGTCGCTGGATATTTGCTTGTGCATGAGTTGGTAGGTAAGACCCGTGGGTTAGAGTACAGGGCTCACTGAGAGTCAATGTCCGCTTATGGATTAGGCATTACTCAGCTATGTAGATATACAAAAGAACTGTGAGATACGGCTGTGTGAATCTAAATAGGGAACATAAAAGAATACCTAGTGTGATACAAAAAAAAATGAATAGTGCGCTGTGGTTGAAATACACTCACAAGATAAAGACGTATGATGCGCTCAAAGTTGCCTCCCCCGATGTTGATGGGTGGCTAAAATCCTCCACTATCCAATGGTATTTCAAGCGGACCAAGTAGGACCTTTGTTCCCTTGGCGTGGTGAATTGGAACCGGAACTGGCCGGCATTCTTCACTTCCGGGTTCCAAAGCCGCGTAGCCTGAACGAAACGCGTAGGACCTTTGTTCCCTTATTTTATATTTATGAGCTAATGTTTAATTGCTCTTTTTTATAATAAATCCATTCATAAGTTTATGCAACTTATACCTATTGGAGTCTCATTTCATACTTGGTCCGCTTGAAATACCAGTGGATAGTGGAGGATTTTAGCCACCCCCCTCTGATGAGCAACCCGGGCGAAAACTGCGCATCAGGGGTATAGGACGCCTAGCCGGCAATGTTCATGCTTGCTACTAGCCTTGCTGATATTTTAAGAGTTACCTTACTCTCTGCGGGCATCCTGTGACCGAGTGATAGTCCATTTATTTCTTATTATTTTTTTCTTTCCATTTTGCTGCTATATGGGGCGAGTTAGTGTCAGATTAGGCATTTGATAAGGGGTGCCCATGAAGGCACGTTAGATTGATCTGCTATTACCTAACCATAGGCTTTTGCTACACTCTTTCCTATCCTCCCACAGCACTTTCATTCTAATAAACTTTTTAAGGACTTTTTGGTGACCAGGCGATCTACACAGAGTATGCTTAATTAAGCATTCCTATTCTTACACACTAGCCTCTTTCTGCAGAAGAGTTTAGCTAGCTAACTGTGAAGATAATTGCCTCCCATTGCAGTACTATTGATAAATAGAGATATATTTATATATTCTTTCACCTCTCAGTCCTGACAACTACCAGAAATAAGTTTATTTTATTATTTTCTTATTTCTCCCTTTGTTGGTTTATGTTCTGTCATAGCAATACTTACCTAATTTATGGACTGATTATCTCGGTTTTCATGTATCTTTATTTATTATTTTTTTATCACTATTATTTTACTAAACATTTATTAAAAGTTAAGTTTTACAATTTTTATAATTTATCATTAGTGATGTCGCGAACATAAAATTTTCGGTTTGCGAACAGCGAATGCGAACTTCTGCAAATGTTCGCGAACCGGCGAACTGGGCCTTAGACTTCAATAGGCAGGCGGATTTTAAAACTCACAGGGACTCTTTCTGGCCACAATAGTGATGGAAAAGTTGTTTCAAGGGGACTAACACCTGGACTGTGGCATGCCGGAGGGGGATCCATGACAAAACTCCCATGGAAATTACATACTTGATGCAGAGTTTGGTTTTAATCTATAAAGGGCATAAATCACCTAACATTCCTAAATTGTTTGGAATAACGTGCTTTAAAACATCAGGTATGATGTTGTATCGATTAGGTAGTGTAAAGGTTACGCCTGCTTCACAGTGACAGACCAAACTCCCCGTTTAACGCACTGCAAACAACCGCAAACAGAGGCGGCTCTCTAATTAGGCGCCTTATGGTAGACTGTGTCAGGTCCTTGGTCAGTGCCCGGCCACCATCGCAGACACAGGTCTGCAGCTCCGCAGTGAGCAGAGCTGCAGACCATGTGTCTTGCGAGAATTGGCCAATCAGAGCGTTGCCGCGGGTTACCACGGCAACGCTCTGATGGTCTCGCGATATTACACGGTCTGCAGCTCTGCAGAGCTGCAGCCAGAAGAAGTGGCCACTGGACCACCAGGGAAGAGAAGGTAGGCTCCCTCACCACCCTCAGCCTCCCCCCACCAGCCTCCCCACCCCCCCACCAGCCTCACCACCCTCAGCCTCAGCCTCCTCCCCCACCAGCCTCCCACCCTCAGCTTTCCCCCGCCCACCACCCTCAGCCTCCCCACCAGCCTCCCACCCCCTCACCAGCCTCCCACCCCTCAGCCTCACCACCTCAGCCTCCCCACCAGCCTCCCCACCCCCTCACCAGCCTCCCACCACCACCCCCAGCCTCCTCACCACCCTCAGCCTTCCCACCCCCACCATCCACCACCCCCACACCACCTCAGCCTCCCCCACCAGCCTCACCACCCTCAGCCTTCCCACCCCCCCACCAGCCTCACCACCCTCAGTCTTCCCACCCCCCCACCAGCCTCGCCTCCCCCCTCAGCCTTCCCACCCCCCACCAGCCTCACCACCACCCTCAGCCTTCCCACCCCCCCCACCAGCCTCACCACCACCCTCAGCCTCCCCACCCGAAGCTAAGCTGGAGGAGGATGGTGCGTCAAGGTTCCGAGCAGAAGCTGTAGAAGATTGGGTGTCCTGTGTTAGCCAGTCAACTATGTCCTCAGAACTTTTTGAGTTCAGGGTACGTGGCCTCTGAACACTGGGCATTATTCTAGGGCCAAAGGGAATCACAGCACCACGACCACGACGGCCCCTGCGGGGTGGCCTGCCTCTGCCTGTCATTTTTTTTTTCGATTAGTGGTACTATGCGTGCAAGCTACTGTGACAACAGATATGAGTGGCACTGTGCAGTGGCAGAAGTTGGCAGACTAGATGCTGTAGGCCTGACTCACACACGCTTGCAGACAACTAACTGCTATTCAACCTATTACAGTCAAAATTGTTTTTTTTTTTTAAATGTACACTACTGTTACACCAGATATGAGTTGCACTGGTGTGACACTGTGCCCTGGCAGGCCCTGAAACGCACACGTGTGAAGGAAACTGACTGCTATTATATTACAGTCCAAAAAGTTTTTTTTTTTTTAAATGCAATCTATTGGGACACCAGTGAGTGAGTGGTGGTACTGGGCAGGCCCTGAAACGCACACTCGTGAAGGAAACTGACTGCTATTATATTACAGTCCAAAAAGTTTTGTTTTTTTTAAATGCAAGCTATTGGGATACCAGTGAGTGAGTGGTGGCACTGGGCAGGCCCTGAAACGCACACTCGTGAAGGAAACGGAATGCTATTATATTACAGTCCAAAAAGTTTTTTGTTTTTTTTAAATGCAAGCTATTGTGACACCAGTGAGTGAGTGGTGGCACTGGGCAGGCCCTGAAACGCACACTCGTGAAGGAAATTGACTGCTATTATATTACAGTCAAAAAAGTTTTTTGTTTTTTTTTAAATGCAAGCTATTGTGACACCAGTGAGTGAGTGGTGGCACTGGGCAGGCCCTGAAACACACACTAGTGAAGGAAACTGACTGCTATTACAGGG